ATTAATTCTATTTGATTACTAGACAAATTTTCTGTTAATGCAGCATGTCGTACAGCACATCTTGCTCCATTTCCACACATGACTCCTGTTGAACCATCTGGATTATAAAAATCATAAATACAAATTGATTTATTTTTATCGATTTCAAGTAAAACAAGAAGACCTTCAGCATTAGGTAAATTATTTCGTTTACATAAATAACTGACTAATATATTCCATTGATTATTTATTTCTTTTTTTCTATTATCAACAATAACAAAACGATTTCCAGCACCAGACCAATGTTCAACTTCAATTAACATTTTTCTTATTATATAGAAGAAAGAAACATCAATAAGATTTTCAATAAAATATTTATCTCATATTTATTTTTTTTAGTATTCATTCATCTTTTCAAAAATGAATTCAATTACTTATCTATAATTTATATTTTATTTCATAGAGAAAAACAATATTCACATCATTAATTATCTTTCTACAATTCCAATATTCACTTTTAAACTTTAACTTTTATTTTAAATTACTTTTAGAGAGAATTATTAGAATTAATTATTGTCTTATCAATCCAGACAATTCATATAATGCAGATCAGAGATCGAACCAGGCCACGTTTTGAAGGTCTGTCAACTTTTTCAAGTGAATAAAATAATGATGACAGACTAGAAATCAGAGATCCAAAGAGAGCACTAGGTCTACTATCCTACCCGGGCCTGATCTGCTTGTCATAGGCACGAATCATGATGTTCACACCAGCGTAAGTGACAGATCAGCAATCTTCTTGGACCTGTGATTGACACTGGTCTGAAAATCGTAGTCTGTGCCTATGGCAGTTAGATCAAGCTCGAATAGGATAATAGCCTTAATGCCCTCTTTGGACTTCTGATTTCTAGTCTGTCATCATTATTTTATTCTCTTGAAAAAGTTGACGGGTCTTCAAAACGTGGCCTGATTGGACCTCCGGTACAGATCATAATCAACAATCGACACACTGAAAAAACTTGGAACCCTTGATTTATTGGTGTATTCAGTATTTTCTCTCATAAACATTGGATAGAGATAGACATTAACAAGATTAATTTATTTGGCAAGGTCTCAAATATTTTCGTTGTTCTTATCCTAAGCCTATAGTAAATACCTTTATTTTACAACGATGATATACACAGACAGATTCTACATTCTCATTTCTGGATAGAAATACACCAAAAGACGTTAAACTTTAATAAATAAATTCTTCTTGTTAAGATCCATCGATCTATCCTAAGTTTATAGTCAGATTTCGACTATAAATTTTGATTATATTTGTGACGTCGACGATGACATTTATTTAAAAATTCTCATCAATATGCAATATCTACGCAAGAAAAAGCTAAGGTCCGAACTCTTTCTAGAATATTTAAAGTTGAATAAAGTCTTGATAATGCAGATAATCCTAAGTGAATATCGATTAATCAGTCGTTGAAATTTTACTCATTCTATATTGATATAATTGAAATAAATAGAAATCTCTAAACTAATTCTAATGTTAATCTATAAAATGAGATTAATTTAATATAAATAACTGAGAATATAAATAAATACTTTTTTCTTGAATTCAAAAATAAAAAATAAATATTTGTTTTTTTGATCATCGCTGGATTTTTGAAAATATTTTTGTGTTATTTCGATATCTTATTGTGTCGTTACAATAATCGAAGACACAAATCGGTAGACACACGTAACTGCTACTACAATTGGATAGATTCGTCAAAAAAAAAACACATTTGTTATAAAATTAAACTAGATCAATAACACAAAGGATTCGAGGAATTTCATAATATAATAAGGATATGAATGGAGAAAGAAAAAAGAAAAATTTCTATTAAAGTTAATTATTAAATTAATATAATAATTAACCACCAGCACTGATATCAACTTTAACACCGGTATAAACTTGTACAAGTTTATCAAAACCAGATAAAACACCAGCACCGGCAATACCTCGAAGAATATTGGCACCAGCTCCTTTAAATAAAGCTATAACACCTTCTTGTCGTACTATTTGAAACATACAATCTAATGCACCATTATATTTAACAGCTTGACCCGATGTCATCATCATACGTCGTCGAATTGTATCAACTGGATATGATATAAGACCAGATGTAACTGTTACACCATAACCAAGTAAAAATGATAACATAATACCAGCATCTGGACCAAGTAAAATTGGTTTTAATGTATCATAAAAACCAAAATAACAACCCCGATAGACGATTATTCCAACACATGATATAACAAAACCACGATAAAGACCAACAAAACCATCAGTTGCTAATGTTTTTTTATAAACATCAATAAGACCATTATATTTACGTTCCCCAGCACCTTTTTTCGTACTTTTAACATCATTAGCTAAACGTGTACGAGCATAATCAAGTGAATAAACAAAACATAATGATAATGCACCGGCTACACCACCACTTGCTACATTTTTACCAAAATTAACCATATATGGATCATTTTTATTTTGTTTAAACATTGCTTTTATTTTATCTTTGAATGCAAAATTTAATGCCTATTTAAACAAAAAACAATAATAATATCAAATTTTTTTCTATATTTTATTAATTAAACAAACTTGTGTTGGAAAATATCGAATACAATTAGCTAAATTGCCTCGCCAAAATGGAAGTAAACCTTCATTTTTAAATGTTTGAACAGTACAATCAATAACACCACCATATGGTCGTGTTAGAGTACCTTGTTTTAACATTTCACCTTGATTTTGTACGAGTAATTTAACACGTTCAATTGGAGCAGCAGCTGTTTTTGAAACAACTGCAGCAAGACCACTTAGTGCAAAATTTTCAATGAAACTTAATTGTGGTTTCTCATTCTAAATAAATTCATTTATTTTCATTTATTTTAAATATATTCAATTATATTTACCTTTGCCATTGTGATTTATTTATATGAATAACTAAATTAGAAAAAAAGACAAAAGAAAAATTGTCGAAAATTATCAATTTGTCCTTGAAAAAAAGAACTCTTTATTGCTTTACGTATTATTGTTGTTGTTTTCTTGTTGTTGATGATTCCAATTGCCGTAGAGCGCAGAAAAATATCAAGTCACATAAGAACACACGATTTGAAGACGTGCAACATCGATAGAATATATAAACCTCCTCAAAAATGCATCGTCTTCGATACTAACATTTTTTTTATTTTATTTAAGTCATTTATGTATTTTAAAATAAAAAACTAACAAAAGAAAATACATCCTAGTGATATCTATCGAATAACTTATTCACTTATTTTATAATAACCAATTAGATTATTTTCATTTTATATAGATTAACTAATACATATGAGAAATATTTTTTAAAAAACAATTTTTCGTATCTCTATATCAATTAGATATACTATTTAAATAATTAACTACCTTTACGACAATTTGACTATAAATAGGGTATGATAACCAGTATTTAGACATATGCAGAAGTATGTCTTTTTTGGTCCTAACAACTTCTTTTCTGGTGTGTGATATCGAAAAAATTCTTCAATAATCGTTTTTCTGATTTTTTTAGTTGACGAATATTATTTATTTGAGTTAATCTATCTTCCATTTATGTTCTTGTTCATATCATTTATAAGATAATTTACCTAAAAGCATTGACTATGAACTAGAGTTTCGATCGTGCACATCTCTATGAGTTTAATATTGTTTTTTTTTGCTCACTAATTCCCAAAGTCCGGTGAACTTAAGCGAAAATCTTCAAATTGGTTCCATTAGTCATCGAGCGTTCGAAACACTCAGGAATATATTTAAAAGTAGATTAAATAATTGAAAAAAATAAATTGGTTGTTGTTTTTTTATGTTTATAATTAATGATGATATAAATGAGTAGAGGAAAAATTCCAATGAAGATAGATTATCGTTTGAAAGAAAACTCTCGTAGATATAGAGAATAGTCCAAAAGTAACCCGGCAGTGTTTGATTATGAATAACTTTTGATAGGAACAAGATAGAGAACTACAGTTGTCACCGTTCGCAAGAGGAGATGAGGACACATCGAACCATATATAATAGATTTTTCTAAGATATTTTCTTAATCAATTTTCTAAAAAAATTGCCAGAAAAATATTTTCTTATAAAATAAGAAAAAGGCAAAAAATTAATTTCTTCATAGAAATGAATAGAAAAATCGGCTCAGAATTTCAACTAGCGTATTTAGAACTTCTCTCAGTGTAGTCACCTTACCAAGTACGTTGCTTTTCAAAAACATCGGTTTAAATCCTTGAAAAAAATTAGATTAAATTATCTTATATTATAGAATTCGATGGGTCTTCATTTTCTCTTTCGAATAGTGAAAACTAAAGCTCTCTATCTTGTTCCTATTTAAAGTTATTTGCAATCAAAGACCGTCGGGCTACTTTTGGATCATCCTCTATATTGGCAAATATAATGTATTACCTTGAATGTTGCTTGTTCATCTTATCGACATTGATGAAAAGTTAATATTTAGTTGTCGAAATTGGCAAAGACTTTTATTAAAAATTCATTTTTAAATTCTATAATAAATACCGATTTGAATTGTTTAACAATTTAATTTGAAATCTGAATATAAATTTTGTTTTCAAAGTTAATAAATATTCTATGTGCTTTTATTGATAAAAGATAATTTTTTGAATATGTTATAATAATAGAAATATTTAAATAATTGACCAAAATGTTATCTATCTGTCTATGTCCAATAATCAGTTGTTGCAATAAAAAAATAAAAATAAGCTTCTTCTCAATAAATATATATACGAAAAAGAAAAATGTCAATAAATAATAAATAAACGAGTTATATATATATTGAAGTAATTGATGCATGTCACTATGTTCGATAGGGTTAATGTATAAATCGTACTTATCGTCTACAAGTCAAATTATATCGATACACAAATAAATCTGCGTAATTATATTTTTTACTATGTCACATCTCAAGTATTTTGTATAAATGTCTAAATAAAAAATGTATGTTCTTCCTACAAGAGAACTGAATGATGGTAATCGAATACCTATTAATGGTCTTCGACTATTTCAAGCAGATGTTTATATAGGAACAATTAATCTTGTTAAATTAGCAACTAGAGAAGGTTATCATCTATTTGATACAGCTCAATTATATGAAAATGAATTTAAAACTGGACAATGTTTAAGATTATCGGGTGTTTCACGTCAACAATTATTTATAACAACAAAACTCTATACAACAGCTGGTGGACGTTCATAAGTTTTACATTGATTTAAAGAAAGTCTTCGTAAACTTATGAACAATTATATTGATCTTTATTTAATTGATGCACGACGAGGTGGTCATCTTCTTGAAGCCATATGATACATTAATTGAACTTCAATTACAAGATCGAATTCGTTCAATTGGTGTTAGTAATTTTGATATTCAACATTTAGAAATTCTTCGACGATCTGGTCGTCAATTCCGATCTATCAATCAAATAGAATAAGATCGATTTAATCAACAACGTTCAATTGTTGATTATTGCCGTCAATATGAAATTTGTTTAATGTGTTATTCATCATTAGCACGTAGACAATCATTGTTACATCCATTTGTTATTGAACTTCCAAGAAAATATCAACGTAAACCAGCACAAATATTATTTCGATAGTCATTAGAAAATAATTTTATTCCAATATCAAAAACAAATAATAGAAATCGTTTAAAATAAAATTTTCAACTATTTAATTTTGGTTTAACTAGAAATGATATCAATAATCTTACACAATATACTTATCAATAACAAACTCATTTAGAATCGAATATAAATAACTACGATTAGAATCAATTTAGTAACATTTATTAAACATTTACTTTTTTTTTTATTTTAAATAAAAAGATAAATATTCAAATTTTAATTTAAAATTCTAAATTGATAAATTGTCATGGCATTTCAATCGAGTATAGGTGATACATTTTTTCCCGCATATTTCATTATTAATGTAGTTATTTGTCCACGATGATGACTATTGTTATTAAATCTATATGATTATACTTCAGGCCGATCATTCCGACCGTCGAAAACGGCTATAAATCGGCTTAATTCCTGCCGTAAACGGCGAAAAACGAGGGCCATTATCCGTCATGCCAGATTTATATATGTAGTTTCCACGGAAAAGAAACGGCGCCGTTTCCGATGAATAACGGCGAGCCGTATTTTAACACTGTTTTCTCCTCGTTTCGTGTCTGAAACACACTGCTATCTGTCGTTTACAGTGTATATTACGATTATATTTCGTCGTATTTCGGGACTTCTAAAATACGACCGTATATCGTCGTGTACGACGAGTTACGATAATCACGAACGACCGTATTTTGTTGTACGCGACGTCGTAATTATATTTATACTTCTCATTTTATTTCTTATTGAAATGATCTGAATGAAAAAAGTGATTTGTAGTTATTAAATTTGTAATTACCGTTCTACTTGACGTTGACAATATTTATCCTGTAAAAAAGGAAAATCTGTTGAAATATTAGCAATGTTGAAGAGTTGAAAAATTCCTAATATGATAGTATAAGATCTTGTGAATATATTCAAATAGTAATTGCTGCGATTTTGATAAATAAATAAATTTTCTTAGTGGATTTCAGACAAAAACGATAGTCTACGTGCTTTTATCTATTGTATGACGCGTACACAAGGAATTTTAATTAATGCACGGAATAAGGTGCTATATCGGCGAAAAACGATAGTCATGATGGCCATCCTTTCCGGTGGTACGTAAACGACCGTTGTAAACAGCCATCGTTTACCACATTAACAGTAGACTGATCTAGAGTTGATTCAATAATCACTATTTTTGTTTCTAATCAAAGATTTTCAAGATCGAGGAACTCGAATCTACAATCAGTTCCCGAAAATGTGTACTTCATTTTTTGACCAAACAAACGGTTTTTTTAAGAAGGTTTGATCAAAGATTATTCAGAGTCGAGAAATCCGAATCTGTAATCAGTTTCTTAAAATTTCCAGTTTGACTCTTTTTTTTTACTAAAAAAAAAGTTTTTTTAGCAAAAAAAAATCGCTTTTTTCCTTAAAAACACGCTTTTAGTAAAAAAATCATTTTTTGTTAAGTGAAAAAGTAATTTTTTTTCTTTAAAAAAGTTTTCCCATTAAAAGTGTTTTTCAGGAAAAAAGTGATTTTGTTTACTAAAAAAAGATTTTTTCTGCTAAAGAAAATTTTTTTAGTGAAAAAAGTCAAACTGAAAATTTTAAGAAACTGATTACAGATTCGGATTTGTCGATCTGAAAAAGCTGTGGTCAAAAAGAAAACTAGTGATTATTGAATCAACTCTAATTCAGTTTCCTGTATAGTAACCAGTCGACCTGGAGCGGTGCATCTCTAACTCAAAGAAAGAGACCATCTATTGATCAAATATAGAAATTTATAAATCATTAAGAGCTTTTTTAAAATGATTAATTGATAAACCGATTTGTAAAAAGATTTCAAATTGAAGAATAAAAAGATTTTTTTCTTTAAGAGTGACTCCTGTTATGACACGATTAATTCTGTTCAATTAGATATGCCAATACTTTGTTTACATCATCAAGCATTTCTTAACTTGTTGTTGTTGTTTTAGAAATATCTTTTTAAACATCCTAAGATGTTGACAAGGAGATCTTGAGTATAATTTAAAAATTTCTTTCTATAGATAAACTTGATCAATTATCTTTCTATATTATTAAGTTGTTATTTATATCGAATGGTTGTTAAACAAAAAACTGACTATCATCACATTTAATGTGTTTTTGTTTTAGCCTTTATATAAAAGTTTCTCGCTTAAATATCTTTGTATATAAAATATATAAAAAGAATATTGAAGTTGAGATAATATATTTTGATATGTGTAATAACATTCCGTTCTTTTAGTACTAATAGATAAAATGTCTCGTCACATGTTGGTACGATAAGAGTTTTCTAAACAAACTTTTTCTTTCTTCTCAATATAATTATTTGTGTTTTTCTTCATTTATTATTCTCGTTAAAACAAAATCAATTTGTTTTTAAATTAATTTTCATCTTATAAAAGTAAACTTTATAATATATTTATAAATTATTCAATTGAATGAGACAATTCAATAATTAAATGTTTTCTTCGATTGATAACGATCTAATAACAAAACCAATTAGACTTCTATGATAACTTTAAGTTAGCGAAAAATTTTTTCATGGATGTATGAAGAGCACACGATTACCTACCAACTTCTATGTATCATTCAGATAATTTATTGTCTAATAAATTATCAACTTGTTTGTATAATCATGTTCAGAATCCAGTAATTAACATCAAAGAATAAAACACAATAGAAATTAATAAGAAAATTACTAATTTTGTCTAACAATCATTTTCCATTTATAATAAAATCAATTTCGAAAATTGCGAACCTTTACTTGATGTGTTTCAACAAAAGTTAATTTTGATGTTGTTACAATCCTACATGATTAAGATGATCAATCTGCATTATTGATCATCCATCAATAATTTAACATACCAACAAACTTTGAAGATTGTCCGTATCAATCAGAAGATCAACTCGAGCTCGTCAAAACTATATATTCTTCACATATGAAAAAAATAACTAATCAAATAGAGAGAAAATTCTCTTTTTATTGCGGATTTTATACTCGAGTGAGGACATCGAGTAATTACTTGTGAGTTAATGATCATAGATGAAGATATAAAGGTTTAATAAATCCAATGATTTATTAATAACATTCTACGATAATGAATAAAAGATCTTTACCAAAAAGAATATTTGAAAATAATTAAAATAAAATCAATCAATAAAATAAATATTTTGAATTTTATTGAGTTTTTTTCTCGGTTACACTGACGAACTTTAATTAAAAAGAGAAATTTACAAGATAAACAAACGAACAAAAAAACAAAAAAAAGAAATCCATTCACCAAACTGACAAATTTTTAAAAAAATCGAGTGCGCACATGATTAAGACACAATTACTTCCACCGATCGAATTTCATAGATTTAAGAATAAAATATAACTTATAAAAAAGTACTGATTTATTTACATATATATAGACCGTTTTTTTCAAAAACTGTATACACATTAAATAACAAGATTAAATCCGTTTTCTTTTTTTTTTTTCGTTTTGTTTTGTAATAGATAAAATATACAAGTACAACTTAGTTGCGGAGTTAATTATAAGAAAAAACGAAAAAACATCATTTATAAGCATTAAATCCGTAACATTCATGGCTAAATACACACACACACACACACACATACACATACAAAGATCACATCAGATTTTGTCAAAAAACAAATCGGATGAGATTCACATGCACCATTCGACATCGATTAACGGATCTTTTAAGTTGTGCGCAGCAAAAAAGAAACAAATAGAAGGGAGGGGATTAAAACCCTTGATTGTTTGTTAAAAGAAGAAATAAAAAAAAAAAGAAACTCATCTATATACAATTCATCGAATAGGGAAATTTGTTTAACATATTAAAAAAAAAAAGACTCGGGTATCAGTATCAACAATTCAACCATTATGGAACACAGTTCTCGTTCGTTTATGTACATACCTCACCGAAACAAAAAACAAAAAAAAAACAAACGACAAGAAATCTATATATAACAACACACCGGGTTTATATTGAATATAATATCGAGTCGAGAAATAAATATAAACAATTTAAAGAAAATAGGTTTTTCACCAGTATTGCACGAAAGACGAGATACAATAACATTTTTCTTTCGGAATTCAATCTCTTCTTTCAACATTTTACTGTATATTGACTACGGGCATATCCTGGTGTTCCTATATTCTCTTTTCGAGAGAGAGAGAGAGAGAGAAAAAAAAAGAGCCCGAACAAACAATTAAACGCGATCTGACATAAACCACTACTCATTAATAGATTTATATTAATGGACCTTACTCATACATATATAGATATACAAACATTTGACAGACTAGGTTGTTACCATCACCTCACATTATATACAAGATTTTTAAAGACAATATTACATTTTTACGCTCGGCGTCCGTAGTAAACCAGGTATTATTAAATGTTCTGCTTTCGCAATAAATTGTCTTTTAGTTCGGGATGAGAAGATAAGGGAATGTCAAGAAAAAATAATTATTAAACAAAAAAAAAAGAAAAAGAAAGATTTTTCAATAAATAATTCCAGTCAGTAGATAAAATAAATATATCATCTGACTGGTATGGCTAAAGATCCGTATCGGTATATCCATAGAGATATTTAAAAGACACGCACCCTTTTTTTTTCTATTATATATGATTGTAGATGATTGCTTGAAGCTATTATATTGATAATTATATATTAACAATTGATTTAACGACATAAAACATGCGTACTTGTTGAAGCATTTGATGTTGAACTAGCATTTGATGTAGCAACAATTGTTTGTTGATCATGTCGTTGTTGTTGATGATGATGATGAAAAAAATCAAAATGATTTTGATTTGATGTTAAACTTAATATAATATTTGTTGTTGGAGAATTTGATAATGTTGTTTGATTAGGTAGAAAAACGTGTCGTGTTATATGTGATCTTAGATCATCTGATGTTGGAGAAAAAATAATTGAATGAGAAAATTGTGAAGCAAGAGATGATGTT